GATGCTGGAAAGACGTGGTCATCAGGTCATCGCCCGTATCGACAAACTCATCATATGACTCCGATAGCCCACACTCAAGCAGAGACTAGACTATCGGCTGCAGGTATTCGGGCAGGTTCCCCAACGAATCCAGCACTGGTGTGTCCTTCGCCTTGTCGGCAGCAACCGTCTCGTCCGCGGGTTCCTTGCCCGACCTCCTTCTGACGTCCCGCCGCGACCTTAGTGGTTCTTCCTTAGATTCGGTCTCTGACTCGTCGACCTGAATCTGCTTTTCCACCTCGGGCGAGCAGGTGGTGGCTGAACGACTTGTTCTGTCCTGGTCGTTTCTTGCTCAGGACGGGACTGGGAAGGTGCGGCAGTTGGCACCGGTTGTACCACTGTGGGGCGAGTAGCTTTGGCCGCCCTTTCTTTCCTAGATCGAGGGAAGTTGAATGGTGCTCGCTAGGGCTACTCGGACTCTTTCGGAGGCGTGGTCGCTGCATGCAGGTGCGTTAGTAACTAGACAAAAATTATTCTACTACTAGAAAGGGATCAGTGTAACTTACATTCTGGGGACTCTAAAGACGCGTTGTCACTAAAAAAATCGTACTTTCGCAAGTTCGCGGTCGTCACGAGCTTCCTCGCGTCCCAACTTTCTTCGGGGAGAACCCCAAAAGACACGATCCTGTCCGGGTCGGTGAGCAGGTCTTGCCTGGTCGTCTTGTTAACTGCAAAAGAATGCAGGTCGTTAGAAAAAGGAAGCGCACAGTTAATTAATCTAGCGAAGAGGAACCTACTTGGTTTCTGAAAGCGGCAGTGGCCGTCGTAGTAGAAGAAGAAGAACTTCGTCTCGTAGGCCCCCGCGTTGCTGGGATAGCTATGTATCCCTTCAGCGATGGTAGATTGCCGAAACAAGTAATAGGAGTCTTTGTCCTTGCTCCTTTTGAGGTAATACGCGACGCCGAGCTCCACCATCGTTAGCTCGCCCAAGTCGCTCTCGCGGCACGCAATGTACATCGCAACGGCGATGACATATGCGTTTGGCGTCAACTGCATTGGTGTGATCCTGAAGTGATCCAGGACCGACCTAATAAAAAGGTGGAAAGGAATCATCCCCCCACCCTTGAAGATCTTTTCGGAGATCGCAGCCAGGCCATCAGAAGGATGCCGCGACGACCGGGTGGCGTTGAGGAACACCTCCGCGCGGACGCCGAACTGTCTCTTTATCCTCTCCAATTCTTCTCAGGTAAGAACCGAGAAGACCTCAAGAGATTCGTCCACAGGAACATCCCGCGAAGACGAACCGACTCCTTCTTCGGATCTGGACGCTGAGGGTTCCATTCCATAGTCTGCAACATCGACGGACAGAAGGTCATTTTAGCCATCGTACGTTGCCCCGTACGGCGGCATTGAACAAAGTCCCTAAACCGTAACAGTAACTCGAGCCGCCATTCACGGCTCGAACCCGATTCCGGCGTCGGTCTCTGATGAAACATTAGATGACCCAACGCCATTGCATCGCAAACCAACAAAAAAAAAAAAAAAAAGAGAAGGAAGAAAAAACCTTTACCTCTTGGTAGATGGTTCTTGCTTCAGGTATCGAAGAGATGCCATTCGGAAAAGAAGAACTTTCGGTTTACAAAGATTTTTCGCTCGAGGCAAAAAGGATTCTGGTGGCGTCATCTGAAAAATTTGGGCTTTTATATGGACTGTGAACCGACGTTCACCACCCCTCGAAATCGAAACGACGTCTTTCTCTCTCTCTGCATTAAATGCGGCCCACGCCACATTTAATGTTGTGATGAGGGTTGTCGTTTCAAGCGTGTCGTGCAATTAATGCTCTGCTAAAGTAATAACGCGTCAGCACACAACGCATTTAATGCGCCTGGCAGACGCCTGACACGCGCAGAGCGCCTGGCAGCGCAGAAACGACCTCATTAAATCTCCATCTCTAAGGCATGGTAAGGGACGCCCGATAAAGTCAGGTCGCTTGAGCGACGGCTGTCAGGTCGTTTGGGCGAGGTTTGTGCGAGGTCGTGTTCGCAAAAGGCCCTATCCCGAGCTTCTTTCATTCAGGTCAGAATTGTCAGAATCTCCAGTCGCGGCATGACTTAGTTTCCAAGGTTTGATCCTCAAACCTTAAAAACTAGGGGACTTCTGTTATGCCTGGAAAATCAAGGGTTGACGTGGGAAATCACGTGATGGGGGGTGACCTGCTCCCGTCAGAACGGTAAGCGCACGTCAGGCCTGCAAGATGCCGTGGAGCTCCCACGTTCCATTCCCTGCTCCAAATCGCGTGAAATCAGCTTGGAAGGTGGGCAATGTGACGTAAAATCGGATTTAGTCCTGACATTCACACCAATCCACGGATTTAATGATGTTTATTTGCACTCATCTCACTATAAAAAGGGGAAGACCCCTTCATTAAGGGGATTCGGCCATTTTACACTCAGAATTAACTCTCTCTCTCTTGTACCTTTGTATTTACTTTTCCCTAATCATTTGTAAGTCAGTCCGCTGTTGCGACCTGACCCACAATACTAATACAATTATCAGTGGACGTAGGACTTGCTACCTTAGCATCCGAACCACTTTAAAAAGCTCTCATTGCATTTACTCTACATTTTATCCATAATCACGTGTGTCTCTTGACCAATCAATGTTACGCACGTGTCGATTAGTTGGTGTCAAAAATCACGCATTAACACTAGTAATCAATAGAGAATTTTAAAGGCTGAATTTTTTTATTACTTCGAATAAGAGTAATCACACATTAACTTGTTCTCTTTTATCTCTTTTGATGCATACATAAATTACATGAGAAAAAAATTCAAAATTACCGATTTCAGCTTTCTGCAATGAAATTCAAATCCTCCTTTGGGTGTTTGTAATGAATTTGGGTTTGGCGAGGCATGAAGATTTAGGGTTCAAATGATTTTGAGGAGAGATTTCGAATTTTAGGGTTATGAAATCTTGGGGGAAAAGGAATTTATATAAGTTTTGTTTATATGTGCAATTTTGGGTTTAAAATTATCAAAATTTGAAATTTACATCTTTCACACCAGCTGCCACATAAGGGAGTAAGAAAAAGGTGTAGAAAGTGGGAGCAAGGCTAACATTATTGTAATATTTAACTGGGGATGACCAGACATGGATAATTAGTTAATAATTATCTGGATAAACCCAATAATATATTTGTTTGAGTAAAACTTGATAACATACTATTATGGAAATCAGTATTGCTTTATGGTAAATTTATTGGTAAAAATATAGTTTAACACACGTTAAACTACTAGTACTAGAACCAGTTTCGATGGTTTCTATTTTTTTTTTTTTTTTTTAAATTCTAGAACCAGTTTTAACTCTTTATGGTAAAATTGTAGTTTTCCTGTATTCATGTATATATTAGAGATTGATCTGTCATACTATGCTGTGTAAAACAACTGTTGATTTGATCTAAGAACAGTGAAATGGCTGCTCAAAAGCTAGCAACAACTTGATTTTCCCCTTAGGTTTTGCTTTGTGAAAGAAACTAAAGTAGATCTTGCACCTTTCTTTCTGAGGGAAAGAATAAAATTGAAGGAAAACTCAATTGTCCTTAGATGAGAGAGTCTCGTCCAATTATGCTTTGAAATTTACAGTCTTTTTATTATTATTTGCAATTTTCTTGAAGATATAAGAGTTAAAACACACTTAACCCTTATACCATAGTCTATCATTAATGTTTTGTGCACTGAAGAATGTTGGATATGGTTCATACTTTACATGGTCTGGACTCCTATGCAAACGCAATCGGAGGTCCCGCTCCCCGGTGAGTGGGCAACACCCCCTTCACGGTAAGTCCAATTAGTAATTGGTGTTATTATTTTACTAATATTTGGGTCTCAATTAGATTAGATTCGGGTAAACCCAAATAGGGTAGGGTTTTTCTATTATATAATATAATAGTGAGAAACCTAGGGTTACAAGAAAATAGAGAGAGTGAGTTGTCGTCTTTAGATTGTAATTACAGCAGTATTCCAAAACAAATACAAAATCTCTATTTGAATATTGGACGTAGTTTCTTAATCGGAACGAACCAGGGTAAATCAAGTGTCTTTTATTTATTTATTTGTTTATTTTATTGCTTATGTTTGGCTGATGTTTCAACAAAGAACTCATTCTTTGAACTGATAAACAGGTACTCAAAGCGCTAGCTCCATTGGTAAGGTTAATAGAATATGGTATAAAGATTAATCACGATAACAATAGTTGGTCTCATAATCTTACCCGGTTCTAATTCATTAACCTAGATATGACATGGGAGCAATTTCTTGTCCAAAAAGAAAATTAGATTAATCACAAAAATACATAATAAGCCTACAATGGTATGACAGCGGCAAAGACTTCATTATTGCATCAAATACAACACACAATAAAAGTTGAAATCTAGCTAGCTGTACAAGCTTCGGTGAAACAAAATATGATATCAATTAACATCCTCTTCCGGGGGTTCAAGATTCAGGTCAGGAAGTGCGACCTTTTCGTCGTCATTGATTCTATTCAGTTTGTTATCATCTGCAAAAATAGAAAGTGTCAGTGAATTGATAACTGAATAAATAAGAGCATATATAAAAAGATTTTAAAGATGGAGAAAGACCTGCATCACATGGGTCTGTGGGCTGTGGCACCAAGGATTTCTGTAGTCTAACAGCAGTTGGAAACATCAATGTGTTGGTGGAGATTAAATCCTTCATCAAGCTATTGTTAATGGGTAAAAAACTATACTTTTCCTTCCACATTGGAACAAGCTCAGGTACTGATGGAATTACAAGATTTTCCACTTTGAGAAAGCACAAAGCCTGGAAATTAATTTACCATTACGAATTGTTCGAAGAAGGAATAAGAAAAAAAGATTAAGCAAGTGCTTAATAAATTTGATTTTGACTGAGAAAAAAGGACTTACAGATTCGAGGGCAGTAAGTAGTTTCTGCACCATGCCTTTGCCCCTGTACCTTTCTAGGGTTCCAACAAATGACATCTCAGCTAGCTAGCTTGTTTCCATTCACCCTATAAATCATCATCAACCCAACACTCGCTAAGTTAAATGGATATTCATACTGCACTTGCAAAAGCTGAACACTAAATATATTAGAAATATATGACAGAATTTAAAAGAAAAAAAAAAATCAGTATACCTTAACGATGCGATGGAGATGGTTTCATCGTTGTGTTCTAAGACAGCAGTGAAAAAACGCCTAAAATTCAACCGTATTAAGTTAGACCTGAAAGACAGAATTTAGCAGAAATAAAATATTACTGCGAACGAAATTTTTCTTTAAATAAGAAGATTCATTTGGAAAAGATAATGCTTACCCACGACTGTAGACGACACTTTGGATGACATTTNCGAGTTCCAACAAATGGCATCTCAGCTAGCTTGTTTCCGTTCACTCTAAAAAATCATCAGCCCAACACTCCTCAAGTTAAATGGTTATTCATTATTGAGCACTTGCAAATGCTTAATAATCAAAATGCTAGAATTATCTGAAAAAATTATTTTTAAAAAAAAAAAAAAAAAAAACACCTTAAGGTTGCGATGGAGATGATTTCATCATTGTGTTCCAAGATAGCAGTGAAAAAACGCTTAAAATTCAACCGCATTAAGTTAGACCTGAAAGACAAAATTTAGAAGAAATTAAATATTACATAGAAACATAAATTTTCTTCAATTAAGAAGAAGATTGATCTGTAAAAGATAATGCTTACCCACGATTGTAGATGACACTTTGGACAACATTAATTGTAGTAAACCGATCAATTGTCGGCATGAAAATTTCATCCATGACGGTCCATGCTACTGCAATTTTGCAGTTGCATTCGACCATCTTGTTTAATTCATTGCCACTTGCATATGTCAATGCTTGCATCCGCCGTAGGAGAGTCCAAGAATATCCATTATCTAGCTCCTTTCTTACTCCCACCATCTCCTGAAGCTTCATATAAATCTTATAAAGAGGAAAAACAAAAAGAGAGAGAGAGAGAGTTAAATTTAAGAATAACAAAGACAATATAAATAACATCGTAATATTATGATTGATCATATGAATAAATGGCACAAGAAAGAATAATTATCAGAGGGGCAAAATCTTGAGCAAAAACATATTGAAACTAAAATGAAATTCTAACTTGCAAAACATAATCCAGAGAGAACATGTATGCATAAATTCATAAAAAGAAAGAATTACCTCTCCACAGATGCTACTACAAAATACACTTGGACGATTAAGATCTATCCCTTTTATTTCGAGAACACATTCCCCATGATCTGTATCACAGCCACACATGTTACAGCTTCAATAACAAATCAGAATTCAACATTGTTTTATTTTTAAAATAAACTTAATTTGCTATGAGATGCAAATAATAAATATTTATCATAAGGGGAAGTCTATATTATCACGGTGATTGATATTATACACTTAATTTGCTATTACATGCAAACAATACAGCGGATGCAAGCATGACCATATGCAAGTTCTAATAATGATTTACACAATATGTTTGAATGCAACAACAAAATTGCAGTAGCTTGGATTGTCATGAACAAAATTTTATTGCCGAGCATCGATCGCTTTACTATTGTAAATATTGTTCAGAGTGTCATCTACAGTCATAGGTAAACATTTCTTTTAAATATGTCCTTACAGTCTAACTTAAATCTTTGATATCAACAATACCACGACTTAACAAATAGACCTTGAGTTTTATGTACATTGTTGAGAAGGTAGAAATGGTTAAGTTGTGTTTGGATTGTCAAAAGGACTTTTATATCATCAAATAGGCCTTATTGAATAGGTTTTTTGGGTAACCATAAAAGGGTATGAAATTCTTTTGCTTTTTTTTTTTTTTCACAGTGCCTTAAATGACTTTTCAATTATGGGTAGGTGTAATTTAATCTGAAATCAGAAGAGAAGAGGAGGAATAATAACAAACATTGCATTTCGCATAGTACGCAGGCAGTCAACGTGAGTGAACTACTGCTGCCAGCACCACAAAATTTGCAAACACAGTGAGGACACAGCCAATCCCCTTGAGGTATATTCTGCTCAATTTGCCATGATGTAAAAAATTGTGAACATTCAGCTGAATAGTTAATTAAAAAGACCATAAACATGAATAAAGATTATATAAAATGTAGATCGCATTTTATCCATTTTTTAAAAGACTTGCATCAGAAAATGACTATAAAAATAGTACATAAATGTATATAAATAGGGATATGGGGGAGTATATGTTCTTGGGACAAGGTTACCTAGTGAAGAAATAGTAGAGAGATTCAGTGCTTCAAACAGGTAACCTTGTCCCAGGAGGAGTGCAGTACTGATCAATCAATCTTACCTCCAAATCCAAGCAGTTTGGATGAAAGGTTGAAGGGCACCTCTCGCAGCAAATCAAGTCTCCTCCATCCGCGCATATCATGCAGGCATCATCATTTTGATCAGAAGCAATTGTTTGCGGCTGAATGAGATTGAATGCGCGCCGTGAGACTTCATCCTCTCCCTGCAATGCCTTAACCAAGTATGACAAGAGATAACTCTGCAATCTGACAAGATAAATGTTGTCATATGGCCTCTTAAGAGTACTTCTTTCGGCATGATCCTCAAACTCATGCACTGTAATCACCTTGTAACAGCAACGACACAGCACACCAGCCCGAGTAATCTTTCCCTCTTGAAGCGCAGCATGGCGGCTTTTATCCATGTACCACACTTGCTCATTTTCTTGAATTATCTCCTTGTCAATCAACCATGACAAGATTGTCCTTTGCCTCGGAAGTACGTCTCTGCTAGTGTTGGAAGTACTCGGCCTTTGATGCAAGTTTGAGCTTCTTCTTCTCCTAGGTGGCCTTGCTTGGAGTCGGTTACTAGGCCGCCTGGATCGTCGTCCTTGTTCACCATTATTAATACTATTGTTCTTTGGAGGGCGTCTACGTCTTCTCTTAACAGCACCACCATTATTTGATCTGCTAGAGCTTCCAGTTTCAGGTGCTGTTTCCTCCATCTGAACATTACGATCAGCAATTTGTAGTGGAGTGGATGATGATGATGAGCTTACGTTGTTGTTTCGTGATCTTCTTTGTGGCCTGGTCCTTGTATAGTCAGGGTCAGAGTACGTTGAGTCATAAACCTCATCTTCTGAACTGCCTGAATGATTCAAGTAAATCATAGTCTGCTTTCGAGTCCTCATCTTATAAGCCATTTCTCTGCAATTTCAACAACCCTGATCGAATCTCTTTGTCAAATGTCAATCTCTTTTCGGGCTGTAAAGAGTAACTGAACAAAGAATACATGGCTTAACATAGAAATCAAATAAAAAGCCAAGGTTGTAATAGAATATTAATAAAGAATCAAAATCATTTTGATTCATTGTCCCATTTAATTTCTGGTTTTTCTTTTATTTTTATTTTCAGATCTGTAGTGTTCATGTGTGAAAATCTGGAACTTTAGTTAAAGCTTACAGGCCAAAAACAGCACATTTATTATTTCTATTGGTTTATCTGTGTTTTAATCTAATCTCTTGCAATTGCTTATTTATAAGTAGGAACAAGAAATAGATTTCAAACAAATCCCGCATTAATCAAACTTATTAAACAAAACAAAATACGGTAAATTTTCTTTTATTTTAATTCAATGTTTCTTCGATACATGTAAGAAAAGAAAGAAATAAAATTAATTTAAGTTAACAATTTAGAAAAATAGAAGAAAAAATGTGAAAAACAAAAGGTGAAATGTGAGGTCGTATGATAATTTTATTTAGAGTGGGTCATGTGACCTCATCCTTTTCCCATCTTATTTCTACCCATGCGCGGGCCAGATGTCTTCCATAATGGTGCAATTGAACTTGGTGATTTCTTATATAGTTCACTATCGAAGGAGTCCTTTCTTGAAGCATCAACCATGATCCTTGGTTGTAGTACAGATGACTTTTTTGCAATTGAAGCATCCCCATACTCTCAGAGCTTTTTCTAGTGTTGTGAATTCATAGAGGTCACCATACAACTTCTCTAATTTCTTGTTGTTGGCGAATTGTTCAACGAAGGTGGTAGTGGTTGGGTGAAGGATGTGATGGAGTTGTTCAGGGGTTCGTGCACCATTGAAGGGCTGTCCCACTGGGCTAGACAAAGTCTTACACATGCATATTTCACGAAGATCGCGAGGTATAGCTACAGCAAACATCCTTTACTTATAGGAGCTATGTGATCATCCAGTTTAGTGGTTCTATCATAGAGCTTCATGTTTAGGAAAGTGAATTTTCTTGGCATCTCTATGAGTCTATGGTGTCGACGAAGTGGTGTAGCAAAGCTTTGAGGTAGACTATTCTTGAGTGGTATGGGCATGCCAGATACGTTGATCATGGCTTCCATCTTAGATAATCGTTTGGCTAAGGCTTAATCAAGGGGTTGCCATGAGGTGTTAGGCTTGTGTTTTGTTAGAGGGAACACATTCTGGTTTATGTGTATAGCAGTCGAGCGAAACCGCCTAGTGGGATAAATCCATTGTCGAGTTAAGGGATGTGTTTGTGGGAAAGTGAAAAGTGTGTTTTAGTTGGTGTTGTTGGAGTAGGGTCATTTGTATGAGTGATTCGGTGGTCGGGAGGAGGTGATGGGTTGAGTTGACTTAGTTTGGGTTGGCTCGACTTATTTTAGGTTGGCTCGACTTGGCTCGGTTAGGGGGTCATGGTATTAGTAGTTGGAGTCGAATGGAGATGGGATTGGCTTGCAAGGTTTCCATGTCTGGGGTTGTGAACAACTATCTTGGGTGTGGGGCACGAGATGAGGGGGCTTGTTGCTGACCTAAACCTAATCGAGAGAGTAGAATTGGTTTACCTTCTCTTGGAGAGCTTGGTTTTCTGCAAGAATCAATGTTTTAATGATCCAAGATTTTACACTTATCATTGCTTTCTTGCACAAGCACGGTGAGGGTGTGACCGCGACATCAGGTGTGGGGTTTCAGTGCTTCCAATCATGATGGCTAAGCGAACAAAGCAGAATGAATGAACAGGTCGTTGAAAGATAGATGATTAATTGTTAGGGGCCCCACGATGGGCGTCAAACATGCAATAAAATCTACAGTTGATTCAAGAGGGACGAATCTTGTGAGAAGTGAGCCACTGATAATCGGATAGACCTATACAAGAAAAAAACAAACGTGAAGGCTCAGGGGACGTCTGTGTGGTGTCTATCGTAGGCATCCTGATGCTCAAGTTACACGTTGAAGGTATTTTAGTGAGGGCTGAGAGTAGGAAAGGTTACCATAATAATGCAGCTAAGGCAGGACTATAGTAAAGTGGTCGACAACAACTTGATGGAGGCTAAAGGTTAAATTTAGTCAGAACTAAGCTTTACGACAGGAGAGGCGGCGGTTCTTGGAGCAAAAACTTTGAGAACTAAAGCTTTAGCCTATTTCTAAATCAATAAAAGAGGCTTGACCCATATTTATATAGTGGCCAAGGAGGCTTGAGTCCTAAACTCTGAGTCTACATGGTATAGGAGTTGGGATTAGGAAGAACTCTTGTTTCTTGCCTTTATCGGCTTAAGAGAAACTAATTTAATAAGATTTTAGATCTTGAATGAATAAGGAAGTTGATAGGATTCTGATTCCTATTTGGGACGAATGTGGGCTATGGGCTGGAGCCCATTTTAGCTTAAGCTTAGAAAGCCCACCTTATGGTGTAGCCCAAAACTTTAGTTAACCCAATTTGTAAGGTCTGATCGAAAGAGGCCCAACTCGTAAGTAGCCTAGCTCGTGGAGAGGGGTGACTCGTGGTTGGTCCAACTTGTAGAATGGGCAAGCCCATAGAATGACAATTCTTACAAAGTGGCTATCCCATAGGATGGTCAATCCACAATGAATTTAACCATAGACCTAACCGGAGTTGGGTTAAGGCACTAGACCATACTTAGTATGTATTTCATTATTGGGCTTGACAAGGTTCAGTACGATTTTTTACCCATACAATGTGTACATGCATCTAATATGTCAAATTAAATTAGTTTCTATTTAAGAATGAATTATATATGGTAATTGATATTATAAATATTATTATCTACCATTTAAAACACCCCAAAAAGATTGGAAAAAAAAAAATTGGAATTTAAATCTAGAATCCAGAAGAAAAAGAAAGGAGTTTTTATTTGACATCCATATTAACGTGTAAATGCATCAAATATGTCAAATTAAATTACCTTTTGTTTAAGAATGAATTATATATGGTAATTGATAATTAATAATATTATTATCTTACCATTTAAAACGACTCCAAAAGAAATGGGGAAAAAAAAACAACTGAGATTAATCTAGAATCTAGAAAGAAAAAGAAAGGAGTTTCTACTTGGCATCCATAATAAATGTTACATGCATCTAAATATGTAAATTAAATTAGTTTCTATTTAAGAATGAATTATATACTGTAATTGATAATTACTAAATATTATTATCTTACCATTTAAAACTAGATCCAGAAAGAAATAGAAAAAAAACAACTGAGAATTTAAATCTAGTAAATCCATAAGGAAAATGAAAGGAGGTTTATATTTGCATCCATATAAATGTGTACAGCATCTAAACATGTCAAATTAAATTATTTTCTATTTAGAATGATTATATATGGCAATTGATAATTAATAAATATTATTATCTTACCATTTAAAACTAGACCCAAGAAAGAATGGGAAAAAAACAACTGAGAATTTAAATCTGGAATCCAGAAGAAATAGAAAGGAGGTTTCTATTTGGCATCCATAATAATATTTACATGCTCCAAATACGCGTCAATTATGTTTGTGTCTATTTAAAATAATTATAATGGTAATTAATAATAATTTTCTTACCATTTAAAGATTTTTTAAAAATTCAACTTCAATATTACCTAAATTTAATTGTCCCTTGAACGGATCAAAAAGGTTAGGAGTGTTGATGACTTGATGTTACTTTCAAATATGTTAGGGGTAGTAGGGAAAATTAACTATTTTTTATTTTCAAACAATAGAAAAGTATCCCGTTCACTTATTAATATAATTTATTCTTAAATAGAAACTAATTGAATTTGACACAAATTCGGATGCACGTACACAATTATTATATATACCCCGTTTATTTCCTTTTGGATTCTAAATTTGAATCCTCAGTTGTTTTCATATCTTTCTATTTCTAGTCTTAAATTCTTATATGTATTTTCCATTTCTTTCATATTCTAGTTTTAATTGTTTAGTTATATATAAAGTCTTTCCTAAAGGAGTATGTAAACATACACTGAAGGACAAATTGAAGTTCACTAACTGTGGGTTGGCCAGCTATTCAGGATTAGTGGAATGATATCCGCCCTACCATAACTGAAACCAATAGATGATCTAATTATATACACTGAAAAATGAAGTTGCAAAAATGTCTTCATATTGTCTTTGTGTACTCAGAATTTTAATATCTTTTGTGCACTGATGAACATCTTTGAACTAAAACAAGTCAAAGCCTGGCTCTGGCTCCATTGGCAAGGTAATAGATTACTGTATCGAATTAATCACGTAACACCACTTTCTCATAATTACCGGGTCCTAATTATTCTAGATATGAAATGGGAGTAATTTCCATTGTTTAAATATAAAATGAGATTAATCACAAAAAGATATAAATTCATGAAATATTATAACCACTAATCAAAAAGAAAATACAACTGAGAACGAGAGTTTGAAATCTAGCTATATGTACAAGCTTCACTGCAACAAAAGATGATATCAATTAACATCCTCTCCCGAGGGTTCAGATTCAGTCAGGAAGTGGGATCTTCGTATTGTCATTGACTCCATTCGGTTTGTTCTCAACTATAAAAATAAAAAGTGTCAGTGAATGATAATTATAGAAACTATTAAGAAGATTTTGGAGATGGAACGACCTGCATCACTGAGTCTGTGGCCTGTGGCGCCAAGGATTCTGTTAGTCTAACAGCGGTTGGAAACATCAGTGTGTTGGTGGGATTAAATCCTTTATCAGCTATTGTTTATTGGTGAAAACTATACTTTTCCTTCCACTTGGAAACTTCAGGTACTGATGGATCACAATATTTCCACTTTGAGAAAGCACAGAACCTGGAAATTAAATCACCATTACGATTGCTCCAAGAGCATAAGAAAAATGGATTAAGTAAGTGGTTTTATGTGATGCAATAAAATTCGAAGAAGAATGAAATAGTAACGGATTTCTATT